ATGTGGATTGTGAAAAGTTCAGTAGCCTCGGTCGGATTGGAACCCACGCATGGACACCGCTTACGAAATGTACGCGCATGCTCTACCAGCTGAGCTACGAAGCCACACCGATAGCACTGATCTTTTTCACATTCGAATGTACCCATCCAACTAACAGAGGCATGTGGCATCCACCAGTTTAGCATGTAAGCTGACTGCCTCGACATACAAACTTCAAATCTGCCAAACAACTATTTGAACAATTAACCTTGTCTTAGAAGATCATTCAGTGGAGTCCGGTGAATTCTAAGAAAAACCTGTCAAGGCAGTCAGCTTACATGCTAACTGGTGGATGCCACATGCCTCTGTTAGTTGGATGGGTACATTCGAATGTGAAAAAGATCAGTGCTATCGGTGTGGCTTCGTAGCTCAGCTGGTAGAGCATGCGCGTATAAAGCGTGGGCGGTGTTCATGCGTGGGTTCGAATCCCACCGAGGCTACTGAACTTTTCACAATCGACATACAAACACACCTAAGTGTTATGAATAGCAAAAGGGGTAGAGCCTATCGTCACAAAGACCTGCTGTTCAGTGATGAAACTGGTAATCTAAGCCCCGGGACGTGGATTGGCGAAGCACATAAGGCCCCGCTTGGTTAGGCATGGTATTGAACCGGACGACAGCAAAGCTGGCTACCACCAAAGTTGGGTGGCGGTGGCGGGGCTTGAACCTCAGACGACAGGGTCCTGGAATTAGTGAGTATGTGCGCTGTGACATGAAGCCGGAAACTTTTCCCGTTTGCTTGGATGCAAATCAAAATTTTGAAAATTAAACTAAGACATGTAGTACAGTCATCGAGTTACTGCAGTTAATTAGTTAATTAGCGGTCAATACTTTGCCCCTAGACGTCAATTAAATGTATGTTTTACCATTACGCAATCATTGAAATTTATTTGAAATGATCGAAAGTCTTGTCCGTACGATGGTTTCAACAGGTCACGCACAGCATAGAGCGGCCACCCGTCAAACCGAGGGGTAACCCACCAACGGCTGCATAAAGATACATAAGCCATTACATAAATTCACTTGATCAAATAAGGTACTGTTAGAGTATGTGTTAAGTGATAGATAATTTTGCCATCGTCCGGGCCATTAATACCACTTATCCGTCAGAGCACTCCGAATTTCAGTGCCAGACTGCTGATTATCTCTTTCATCTCAATGACTACTACAATAGCAGTTTTAATCATGCCCACTCTCAATTGTAAATCGCACTCATTAACATCCGCGGCCTGAACCACAATATGGATTCTATCGATCCACCCCTCAAGTCTACTTCTCCTCTTGCTTTATTTTTGGGTGAAACCCAACTTTCTTTCAACACAGACACTAGCCAACTTCGGTTACCAATTATTCTGTTGATACCTCATTCATCTCCAAAGGTAGTGTTTGGACAGTGACTCACCATCCCTACGCCCCCTTCAATTGCTTTTACACTGTTCTCCGACTTAAATCTCACCAATCGCGAGTTCCAAACTATGTGGTTGAAACTTCCGTTTGTTTGTTTTAATCACTGCCTCTGCATTGTATACCATTTGCCACATAATAGTGAATCTTCACTTTTTGATATTTTATCGGCAAATAGTGAGAATATTGATGAAGCTAAGATCACATTTTGGGGTAGTTTTAACGCTCATAACAAGAAATGGCTGCATTCAAAAAGATGTGAAACAAGGAAAGTATTATTCTCTGATCCATTACGGCAAAATTATTGCGCTTACCGAATTACGCATTGTTTCGATAGGGATAACAACCAGTGAAATCGCTAAAACACTTTCAGCCAGTTTAAGCTCCGGTGGGAGATTCTGAAACGGAATAACAGTCCGATGACCGGTAAAGTTTCAACTTACCTTTAACGCATGCAACATACTAGAGCCGAATTGCTCACTTTCGTTGCACAAATCGTAGATATGGTTAACCATGTTTTCATGAACTAATGCGTGTTGTGTCCTTCGTTCGGTAACCAAATATGAGCAAATATGTTGCACCACCAAATGCATGGTTTTCTACCCGAAATTAGAACAGCGAAGAAAAACCCACCATACAAGCAAAAAGCAGAATTGCTTTACAAAAAGCTGGAACTAGAAGCACATCAGCTGTGTCCAGAATTCTCAATGTTTTCAACAAAATAGCTTCTCGAGAAGTAAGGGAAAATGGATAGTCCTTTAATGCCTCGAGGATAGCAACAGCATTTTCGCTATTCCATCTGATGTTATGAAATCCATAGATATGAGATACTAACAAACCTACTCGGCGGCACAAAGCGGTTGCGTCAATGGGGTGAGAATAACAGAAGACTTTTCCAAGCGCATCAAGGCTTTCCCAAACAATTCGAATATGCTGCAAGGGAGCCCGAATAAGGCTAATACATGCCGAAAAAATGTAAACAAACCAATGCTTTTCCAAAGATTCTTCTTTTAGTCGCTGAATGATTCGAAAGCATAGGCGTTCGATTTTCCAATCTTCCAAGTATTCAATCTGCAATTTAAGATATCCGTCAGTCGCACTTCGGTGCTAAAAAAGCTTACGCAGCCACCCAGAAAAAATGAAACGGCATTCCTGTAATCACCGGATAAGTTGATGGACCAAAGACAATCGATCGTGTATTCACAAATTTCCAGTAGTTCTTCATGTTCGCGAACACCTGAAGGATTGCATAGTTCAAAATGAAGGGCATTTACCGTATGTAAGAGCTTCTAACAAGTTTATATCAGACTCCGGATTCTCTTGCTGAAAAACGTTAGCTGTCAGCTCAACAATCTTAAAACAATTATCGGTCAATTAAATTGGTATGCTTACCTCAGAAACTCGTTTTGTGTGAACAATTTCTTTTAGTTTGACTGGATCCCCAGCATTTTCCAGTAGTTCGACTTCCATATTATTATTTCGAACAACGACCAGCACAGATGATGTATAGCTGAAGAAAAGTATAATAATAACATTGACAAGTAGGGAAAAGGATAACGTAACAATTCTTTATGACTGGCCCACCATCAACAGAACGATATTAACGATAGTCTTATGGACAATGCGACAGCTTACATCCCTCCCACAAAGGGAATCCATTGACGGAAATGAATGTTAGAACCAAAGAATACTTGTCCTAAGAACGTGGGAAAGGACATCTTGGGGATGAAAGAAAGATGAGTGGTTAAGGTGATGTTGCAACGGGACTGAAGGAATGGTTGTTACCGCAACCCTTTTGACGCGGTTTCTAAGGCCACTCAGAAAACAGTGTCCCTCAAGATGCATAAAACATCTTTTTGAGGGTGTTTACGCTGTCAAACATCACGACGAAACTGCAACTAGACGTGGTGTTATGGCTCATTTATCATCATCACTATTGTACAGCGTAATACAGTGAAGCTAACTTCACTGATCGCTGCCAAACTCATATTGCATACAAGATAAGTGAGAATGTGTAAGGAGAACAGGGACCGGATCTGTTCTTAGGGACGGGAAAAGAAAGTGAACCTCTATGGTCAACACACAGAGTACACAGCCCAACTGTGCATACATACTATTTCAAGCATTTTGGACTGATAAGATGTGACAGCAAGATCGCCATTGATGTCGGTTCACAGCCATGATCTTCAGTGTCTCCAACCGTCCGGTTACTGAGTCTTTTGGACCACANCGGAAGATGAGAGACACCTACTCTACCTAATCATTATGTGCATTTCTTCATGCCTCGTCTCCACGTAATCTGCTGGCCTCCACGTGGCTTTCTCCAGCCTGTAATAGCCACTCAAACAAGGCGCGCTGCGGTAGGCGACCGTCGGGCATAAGCTAAACGTGTCCCAACCAACGGAGCCTACTGAGCTGGATTCGATGAGATAGTGAGTTCTTGTTTGATGCATTCCCAAACACCCGACAATTTACTTGAAATTGAACAGGAATGGCGAAAGAGGGCACCCTAGACGAACACCGCTGCTCGTTACGAACAACCTACTCAGCTCGCCGTAGACCCTTCCGCTACCAGAAGTGTGAGTAGAGTGAACTCAGAATACTCACATACTGATTCGAAGGCTGCTTTTAGGTCAAGGAACACGACAACCGTTGGTCGACAGTGCGTATTGCGTACGGTAAAGATTTGATCGATACAACCGCGACCTGGTCGAAATTCTGCTTGTTGTTCGCGGATGTTTGTCTCCCTAAACGGTGTCAGACGTCGAAATATAGTGGAGGCTAGTAACTTGGTGACGATTGGGATCAAACTTATTCCACGGTGGTTTGCGCAATCTTTGCGAGATCCCTTCTTAAAAATTGGAACGAATGTTAGTGAGGGCTATGGAGTGTTGTGAGTTCGTAGTAAGAGTACGCATTCTGTGATTTCTGTGAGTTGCATTGTTCATTTGTGGTGCGATTGAAAACCGGCAACCGACCCCTGAGACTTGGAGTGGTAAACCACATTAGGCCTCAAGAGATTGAGCGTGATAGTGAGTTGGGCGACAGCAAGGCTGTCTACCACAGATAGGGCCTCGAGTATGTTTAGTGCTAGAAAGCACTGGCTTTGAGGAGGGGCTGAAGTCTCCGATGTGTCTGGACGCTGGAACGTTGAAGGCAGTTGTCCCGGATTTTCCCCTGGCGTATATGCTGGGGTACTAGTGGTGAAACGGTGTTAGCGCACCCGACGTCCCCGGGTATCATAGTGGGCGCGTTCTATCGACTTTTCTTACGCCTACCCGACGTTTGACATCCCCTAAATCCGATATATTCGGGGGTGAGGCCACCGGCAGGGGAGCACAGGCTGGCCTGGTTTGAAGCATGGGAGCATCCTGGATTAAAGATGAAACACAAACTGATTTCGCAAATCGTGATAGCACCTGGACTGAGCAGTGTGTACACACTCAAGAATACGATATTTCATTAGTTTCAGATGGGCACATGAGATATAAAGTCATCTACTGCAACCCTCGCACCGCTCACTACTGGGGCGCACGCTACCGACCAGCACCCTAGTCTGATTTCATTAGTCTCGGATCATTCTCAAAGCGGTCATTTTTAAACGATTATAATATTTTTCACAGTACTCACTATATGAAAAGTGCATTTTTGCATCTTTTTACAGAGGGCTGCTTGGTAACGTGTCTAGTAAACGACGAAAACTTTCTATAACAATTCGAAATTACAAACCACATGCTAAAATCCCCCAGTTTAAGTAACTGAACTTTTGGGTCACATCACTTTTCTCATCCTAATTCTTAATTCTGACATGTACGGAACCGGTCAATTTTCATTTTTAATGAATAGCCACTGTCCCATTTGTGCTCCAAAACTCACATTGCGGGGCTATATAGCCCAAATTCGAATTCAGTTCAGTTTTTTCAGTTCAGTTCAGTTTGCACAGGACGATGTGTGACCCGGGCCAATCTTGCGTCCAGAT